ACATCAAGGCTCTAATATAGGACTAGGGCTGCACTGCCCCCACACCTCCAAACTGTATCAATAGAAATACCAGGTTTATCTTGCACAAATTCAAGAAAACTAACAATGCCAGATACTGAATTTCTATTGCACTGACTATCCTTTGAATTTCCAGGAATAAACTACTGAATGCAGACACCATGCAGTGCACTAGGGCTGTACTCTTGAACTTTCTACCTACCCAAGACATCTCCCCTTCCTGCAAATGGAGCAAGGCTGAAGGACAGCAACAGGGAATGTGAAGAACTTTTAATATATTGTTTAATGAAAGACAGTGGGTGAAACTGCTATTTAACCAGGAAGGAGAAAAATAATGTTGGCAGTGATGGTGGAGGGGGTCTAAGACACTGTCATCAGTGCTGTTGACTAATAGCAACTCCATGAACACAGATCTGAACCTTGCCCTGTTGTCCACCAGCCTCAGATGCGGATATTGTTTAGACACTGTTAGGGAGGAAAAAACGATCATATTCCTTCCTTGAAGATACAATGAGACAAATAAGGAAACTTTTGCTAACAGAAGGATTGAATAATGCCCTCAGGAGATGGTGACTTCACATCCCTGGATTTCAGAGTGGAAGATCTGGCCAGATACTAGTGGCAAGGAGCTGCAACTACAATCCCAGAGGTGCACGGTTCGAATCCACCAGATGCTCTGCCGGGGAAGGAGGAACAATCTCCTCCTGTACCAGTCAGATCTGATTTGACGGTACACGCACACAAAAATAATAAAATAGAAAAAAAAAAAAGATTCCCAATTAGTGATTTTAAAATCGGGATTTCCCATTGGCTTCCAACACAAACCCCCTAAAGCTGTAAATGCATTGGCAGTTCTAATTGTAATTTCTTTTTCGAGATTCTCTCCAAGGAGGTTTTCTTTTTCCTGAATTGTGTTTCTGGTTTCTCTGGAGTGATGTGTCTGCTTCAAGACCTACATAAACAGGGCTAGAACTAGACACCAAATGGCCTTAAAAGTCCCTTTGCTATTGAGACATTCTTTATTCTTCTTCCAAAGAGATAACAAGCAGTCACAACTCCAAAAAAGGCTGGAATTTTGGTCTAGTCCGGAGATTTTAACTTTTCTTTAACCATGATGTCCTTCCTTCTAAACTCATAATGTGTAAAACAAAGGTTGAAATGGGGAAGGAAAAAGTAATTCTTGCAGTGCTGACCCCTTCCTCTGCCTCCCTAACACCACTGATCTAATAGTTTCTTGCGGAATCTTTTGCATATATATTGATCGTACTTTCTCGAAATCTCCCAGAATGGGTGGTAATTAGGGAGGCAGACTAAAATAATACATCTAGAAAAAGAAAATAATGCATCTCTTCTACCCTTATATCAAGCTCACCCTTCAGAAACATACCCTTCAGAATCACCCCTGGTCCCACAATTATTATAAACAATCTGCGTTATGCAGATGACACAACCCTGCTCGCTGAAACTGAGGAGGACCTCATGCACTTACTGCAGAGGGTCAAGGACTACAGCCTTCAATATGGACTGAGGCTCAATGTCAAGAAAACAAAAATTCTCACCACTGGACCAATTGGTAGCATCAGGATGGATGGTGAAGAGATTGAGATTGTTCACAGCTTCAGTTTGCTCGGCTCCACAGTCAACACTCTTGGCACCAGTAGCCAGGAAATAAAAAAATGTATTGCGATGGGAAAGTCTGCTGTTAGGCACCTCTCTAAAGTACTCAAGAGCAACGGTGTCTCTCTGGAGACTAAGGTGCACCTGATACAGGCCATGGTCTTTGCAATCACTTGTTATGCATCAGAGAGTTGGACAATGACTAGGGAGGATAGAAGGAGGATTGACACCTTTGAGCTGTGGTGCTGGAGAAGAGTACTGAATGTACCATGGACTGCCAAGAAAACAAATAGATTCATCCTAGAGAGGGTTAAACCAGGCTGCTCCTTGGAGGCAAGGATTCTGGGGCTTCGTCTGACATACTTTGGACATGTTGTAAGGAGAAACAGGTCTTTGGAGAGGGACGTCATGCTGGGCAGAGTGGAGGGACAGCGCAGGAGGGGAAGACCCTCTATGAGGTGGATTGATTCAGTGACTGGGGTAATCGGGATCAGTGTGTCAGAGGCAATGAGATTGGCACAGGATAGAGCAAGATTTAGGGCTGTTGTACATAGGGTCGCTATGAGTCACAAACGACTCGCCGGCACATAACAACAACAACTGCCCTTCCTTGAAATTCATTCTTCATTCAATTAGGGCCATTTCTTTGACTTCCGTAATTAATAGAGAAATCCAATAGATGCACACATCATATTCCATTTATGTGGATCAGCAAAAATGACTTATGCAACAATATTCACAATATTTTGTTGTTATTGTTGTTAAGTGCCGTTGAGTCAAGCATGTCTCATAGTGACCCTATGAAACAAGACCTGAACCCTGTTCTGTAACTATTGTGATTTCTTGACGTTCAAAGAGTACACAGCACTTTAACTTACTAAAAAAAGAGATCAGTTGATTCAGATGCATGAATTGTGATACCTCCTTATTTAAAAAAAAATGTGGCTATGAAAATCTCTTTCCTCTGTGTAATTCCTTTGTGTGGTTTTACTATGAAAAATATTAGTCAATGATGTGGAGTCAAAACGAACCACTAGACACTAACTTCAGAACTGCACAGGAATGCAGAGAGGTGTACAGATGAATGAGTTGAGGGTTCTGGGATGAATGGGACCTATGAGCAGCCCAGCTAACTGTTCATGCTTGGTTCTACGTCCATGCCACTGCAGATCTCCCCCTTCACTGGGGAAAGGTACTGAAAGGAAGTGTGTGTGACCTCACCAGCTCAGACAAATGTTCTATTATTCTTCAGCACAACATGAGCACAAAGACACAATCTTGCAAAACCCACCAATTCTAGTTTCAATTAGTATTATTATTTTGTCATTTTGGTGCAATTTAGTTACCAGTAGGTTGACTGTGACCCATGGCATATACCAGGGTAGAACTGGCTCCAAATGGTTTTTAATGGCTGATTTTCAGAAGCCTCTCATCAGGCCATTTCCCTAACACTTCTCTGGATAAACTCAAAGCTCCAACCAATCTGTTAGTAAAGCACATGAACTGGTTACACATCCTATCAAGGGTTTACTGGACTTTTATCCTATGCTGTGAGCAATGGAAATACATATGTAAGAGGCACTGAGCCTGGATTCTAGCAGCCATGAAGGAAGACAGCAGACTCGGGGGAAAGACAAGGCAGAGTTTTGACTATTGGGGAAAGATGGTTCCAGCGGTAAGTGAACCTGAGCCTCAGAGGCAGGAAGCTCATGGCCTGGCTGAGTTGAGATCCCTTTGCAACTAGGGGAAGGCAGTGCTGGTTGCCTCAAGACATAGAGGACACCACTGTTCTGTGAGCTCAGACTTCAAATGCTAAGTGAAGGGTTCCTTTTCACAGTTCTTTCTTTCTGCCCAAGGATGCAGAGTCCTCTGTTCCAAGCACTTAACACTCAGTTGTGCCATCTGACAAGTGTTTTCGCAGAGCCCTCAGGTGAGTCAAATGAAGCTAGATGACACGTTCCTGGCCATCGTCAGGGCTAAAAAAGTCCACAGAGAGACCTCTGTGAGGGGCAGGGCTGCAGAAGATTAAATTCACTAAGAAGCATGGCTTTCTGTGATACACATGAGATTAAGGGCTGCCACCTCAGGAAAACGGTTCCTAAAAGAAGTGGGAACTCATCTTGTCAGCATATCCCGCAGTCCCTCCACCTAGAAATACACGCTCAGCTCCAGGCAGGACCCAACCAGTTGAGGTGAAGACCCAGAATTGTCTAACTGCAGTATGTAATTAATGGAGACAACAAGGCCTGTTATCTTGGAAATGGCTATTACTCAACCACAATACACTGTCAAATAGGAATAACAACCCAAAAAAAAAAAAATCTCCATTTATCTGATTTTATCAAACATTACTAACTTCATATCATTTTTAATATGCTACGTCATGCTTGGGAAGGTGGAGGACAGTGCAGGAGAGGAAGACCCTCGATGAGATGGATTGATTCAGTGACTGGGGTAATAGGGGTAGGTGTGTCAGAGACGGTGAGATTGGCACAGGATAGAGCAGGGTTTTGGGCCATTGTATATAGGGTCGCTATGAATTCCAGGTGACCAGATGGCACATAACAACCACCACAACAACATTAATTATCTTTGAAAAAGATAATTGTAAGAAATACTAATGGCTCAGCTTCCTTCCGGTCAGCTACTTCAACCATATTTTCTTAGCTCATAGACACGCCTTATTTTCCTATAGTTCCTTTCTGGAATGTGCCTTCTGAACCCACGTGTGAGCAATGGCACTAGAATTAAAAGCAAAGACATCAGAAATTATTAGAAGAGGAAATGTTGTTGTTATGCGTACTGCAAGTGAGCAAGCCAGGCAAATCCCACCTAAAGCCCAAGAGATCTGGGGAGTATCCATCTATCAAAACCTGGCTTTTCTTTCTGGCTCTGTCATTTCAAGTTTCTTGGACATCGTTTTTGCCATCTGTAAAATGATGACCCTTCATGGGTACATAAAATGGTGTCACTTAATTATAGTTGAGTCCAATTAATTATCATTCATAATAGGCCACTGGACTCTAGTATGTTGTTGTTGTTGTGTACAGCAGGGTTGAAACCGACCCAAAGCTGACCCTTCTGCAGGTTTTCAGAGGCAGTTAATCTCACAGGAGGAGATTGCCCATCATTCTCTTTCAGAGCTGCTGGTAGCCTCGAACCATGGGCCTTTGGAATTGCAGTGGAGGTTCTTGCCACTAGGCCACCAGAGTTCCCTAGGTTAGATGACATATTTTCACTTATTTCCTTATGCTTCTAACTCCCTCCAGTGCTTTCAAAGTGCAGCCTTCATTAGCAACCATACAGCTGGAGCTCATACAATAACCATACAACTAGAACTTATGCTTTTTCCTGATGGCACTCACCTCTTGATCGGTGAAGATCTCTATGAAGTTCTGGAAGGAGAACGAGCCGGACTGGAGGATGAGCTCACCGGTGTTTTCAAAGCACTGTCCCGTCAGCACCAGCAGCTTGTGTCGGGCAGCGTCTGTGATCATTAAGCGCACCTGAAACGACGTACAGGGAGCCAGGCATGAGGTAAGTAGTACTGCTGCCCCTTCTGGGAGAGGAACCCTTGATACGAATTAACAACAAAACTTACTCATTCTTATTCTCTGGTATTCCTGTTTCCTTTGAGGGGTTGGACATATTGCCATCATCCCCAAAGCCCATGATGCCATTTTCAAATTTTTGCTATAATCAATATTAGCAGTCTTACGTGGATTTGAGGAGAGGTAAGGAAATTGTGTGCAACAATGAGAGATTTTTTTTCAAAGAGAAAAGTGAACTGGGGGAATGGGTAGGGAGGAAAATGTGCAATGATGAATGAATGGAAATCCAAGTTCTCTATAAACTTTTGTTAAAATCTCAACTAAAATAAAATAAAATAAAAAAACCAATCAACAAACAATAGCAGTCATAGACACTTATCCCCCATAGTTCCTTCTCTTTCTCAACACAAGCTTCCAACCTTAGCACACAGGTGTCTCGAAGTATCTGTTAGCAGCAGGTGACCTGTGGGACAAAGGTAAACTTGCAAGCATCTCATATGAGTTACCAAGTATGTCCAAGTCCCCAGGTGACTAGGGAAGGCTAGGTTTCCAGGTGGGGTCCCAAGTTAGCCCTCCCTCCCACCAAGGACCTTTCTCCTTCCTAGCCTGAGCATGCAGTCTCCAAGTGAGTCTTCAAGGAGACTGATAAGGAGCTGAATGTAAACAACATAAACAAAAGGCTATGCCTGAGTGGTAGGGTTTCAAATAGAATTGTCCGTGGTTTGCACTAAAGAACTTTCTGTGCACTCTAAGGTGCAGGAAGCCAGGCAGCCCTTCAGCAGAAACAGGGGCTCCAGGCACCAAGATACTCATTCAGATCACAAATCCGTTCAGCACCCACTCCATGTCAGGCAACATGGTGGACACCAACCAAGTCATGACCCCTATCCCAAGAACCTCACAGTTCAATCAAGGAAAAGCCATATGCCTAATAAAGTATTGCAGCCCCATCTGCTCCACAAGTGAGACCAAGTTCCTGAAAGTCTTTGTTTTTCCTTTTCCATTGGCGCAGCTGTTCTAGGCAGGCTGCCTAGACATACATTAAATCCTCTGCCTTACTTCAGTTATAATTACTTCCTAATTCTGTTAGTCACAGAGAAATGGTTATCCCATCACTTTGCTCCACCATGAGACTTAAAGGAAATATCAAAGAGATCCTGCAGAGTGGAAGCAGGGAGAACTGGAATCAAAACAGTGTACATCATTATAAACAAAAAGTGGCTAAAACCCAAACGTCTATCAAATGGTGAATATACAAACAAAATGTGGTATATCAATACATAGAATAGTATGCATCCAGGAGAAAGAATAAAGCAATGGTAAATGATCCAGGTCATAGTCTTTGCCATTATTTGCTATGCATCAGAGAGCTGGACAATGACTAGGGATGAAATAAGGAGAATTGATGCCTTTGAGCTGTGGTGCTGGAGAAGAGTGTTGAATATACCATGGATGGCTAAGAGAACAAACAAGTTCATACTAGAGAGGGTGAGATAAGGCTGCTCCTTGGAGGTAAGGATTCTGAAGCTTTGTCTGACATACTCTGGACATGTTTCAAGGAGGAAACAGTGTTTGGGAGAGGGATGTCATGCTTGGGAGAGTGGAGGGATAGTGCAGGAGGCAAAGACCCTTGATGAGATGGATTGGTTTAGTGACTGGAGTAATGGGGGTGGGTGTGTCAGAGACAATGAGGTTGGCACAGAATAGAGCAGTGTTTAGGGCTGTTGTACATAGGGTTACTATGAGTTGTTGGTGACCCAACAGCACCTAACAAGTGATAAATGGTAAATGACAGAAGCTAGGTACAAAAGGCCACATTCTACATGATTCTATTTATGGAAATCAATAGGAAAATCTATTTAAAAAAATCCCAAAGAAGTGACTGTCAAGAGCTGAAGGCAGCAAGGCCTGAACTATTTTAGGGTAAATGGAAATGGTCAGGAGTTATATAATGATGATGGTTACACAATTTAGTGAAGACACTAAAAATAACAAAATTTCATACCTAAAGTGGTGAATGTTATTGTATGTAAATTATGTCTTATTGAAAAAAATAATACAAGTTGTAGATAATAAAAAAGATGATCAAATTACAGACAGAAGAGACACCAGGACTTTGGGTATTTTGATGTCCAAGAAGCAACTTGGTCTCAAAAGTGCTAAACAGTAACAAAGGAAATGGAAAATGCAGCTACATCAATTAGCCAAATTCTTATCTCAGAGTGGCTCCAATCACTCACTTTCTGAGGCACCAATTTCACATGGTGATAAATTAACACAAATTAGGAACAAAGCAAACACTCATATTTCTGATTTTACATGCTACAGTCTGTTCTAAGCATTTGACACTTCTCATTACAATACTGGCCATGAATATTGAAGGTAGGCTCTGTTACGATCTTCATGCCATATAGGCGAAAATGGAATCAGACAGTGAGGAATTGGCTTGAGGCTATCAGCTGCTAATGGCAGGTATGGGATTATGAAATCAGATTTCCCTCACCAGGACCCATGCTCCTGACCACTACACCCTCCTGCCTTTCAGCAGTGCAAAAGGATGCAGGGAAGCTCATTCTTCTCCTCTGTTGATTATGGTATTTCCCAGGCTTGGTGTCTATTTCCCTTCCTGCATCCCTCCCAGATGCTATGCCAGCAACATCACCACCCCTCATATGGATTCAAGATTTTCCACTCCCCGGCCCTGGCAAAGCATTGTGATTCCAGTCTGGGTCATTGTCTTTGTCATTGTTGAAGAGGGGAAGAGGGATGTATGAAGTTCAGAGGAACAAGATTGTTAGGGGTGGTTCTGATGCAGAACACCGCTCAATGACTGGGAATTAACAAGCACCACTGCACTGGAACCACTCTCATGTTTTTCTTTGCTGCCACCTGCCCCAATCCCTCCGCCGTCTACCCTCACCTCTCTAATGTGTCAGGTCGCCCCCGCGACTCAGCAGAACCCAAGCCTTACCTCAGTGCTGACTGCTTCATCTGAAGGGTTGATCAGAACCACTGTTTCTAAAACGTCACTTCGATGATGCAGGATTTTCTGGCCTGCAGGCACAAACACAAAGGAGGAAACTTTAGGCTTTTCCAGATCCGAGCTGCCCCGCCCACTTCTGGGAGCAGAGGCGGTTCTCTCTCTGAGGTTGCAAATCTACCACATGAGAATTCCCCACTATCCTGGGAAGCACAACTGGTGTCCCCAAGACGGAGTGTGAGCACCCTGGCGGGCTGCTCCAGGGGTGGGTCTGTGTGGTCTGGGTGCCTCAAGCTCTCATTTTGTGGAGTTAGGAGCTTGATCATCAGCTTTGATGGCTGTTTTCTTCGGAGACAAGAGGTCGGTGCCAGGAAAACTCAAATGTCCCTGACATTTCCTTTCTCATGGTAATTGGGGATGTTTCTCCATATCAGCCTTTCTTCTGCTGAGAACTGCCTGCGCTGAGATTAATTAGAAGCCTTATTGTAAAATGAATGGCATCCAGAAACCTCAGCTAACAATTAGTCCAACAAGGAGAATGGCTGTCTGAGGCAAGCTTACAGTCTGTTGGAGTATTCATTAATTCATTCACTGGGTTGTAGTGGAGAAACGGAAAGTAATGAAAAGTGGGAGGAAAACTCTCCCACTGGACTTCCAATCCAAACCCATTGCCACCAATCTGACTAAAAGATGACCATCTGTTGGCCTTTTGAGGCTGTAAATCTTTTTGGGAGGAGATGGCCTCATTTTTCTCCCTTAAAACAACTGGTGGATTAAAATTGTCAACCTTTTGGTTAGTAACCCAAGATGTAACATACTACGCAACACCAGGGCTTTTGACTGAGAACAAAGAGCAAAGCAAGATGTGCAATCTGAAGGAGTCATTTAAGGAGGGTTAAAATTCTGCTAAGCCTTTGGCATCATATTTCATGAGTTTTAGAATATCCAGTCTTCAGTATGGATTGAAGCTCAATATCAAGAAAACAACGATTCTCACCACTAGGCCAATTGGCAGCATCAGTATGAATGGTGAAGAGACTGAGATAGTTAACAGTTTTAGTTTACTTGGCTCCACAGTCAACACTCTTGGTAACAGCAGCCAGGAAATCAAGAGACGAACTGCATTGGGAAAGTCAGCTGTGAGGGTCCTCTCAAGAGTACTGAAGTGCAACGATGTCAGGCTGGAGACTAAGTTGCGCCTGATCCAGGCTACAGTCTTTGCTATTCCGTGCTATGCATCAGAGAGTTGGACAGTGAATAGGGATGACAGAAAGAGAATTGATGCCTTTGAGTTGTGGTGCTGGAGAAGAGTGTTGAATATACCATGGATTGCTAGGAGAACAAACAGGTTTGTCCTGGGGCGGGTGAAGCCAGAATGTTCCCTGGAGTCAAGGATTCTGAAGCTTCGTCTGACATACTTTGGGCATGTTGCAAGAAGGGACTGGTCCTGGAAGAGGGACATCATGTTTAGGAGAGTGGAGGGGTGGTGCAGGAGAGGAAGACCCTCCATGAGATGGATCTATTCTGTGAGTGGAGTGGTGGGGATGAATGTGTTTGAAACAGCGAGGCTGGCACAGGATAGAACGGCATTTAGGGCTCTTGTAGATAGGGTTGCTATGAGTCGCAAATGACTCAAGGGCACATAACAACAACAACATGGCTCTGGTAGCCTAGTGGTAAGAAGCTGCACTGCAATTCAGAAGACACACAATTCAAATCCACCAGCAGCTCTGTGGGAGAATGATGGACAATCTCCTCCCATGCACTTAGCTGTCTCTGAAAAGAAGCTGGAGGGTCAGCTACGGGATGGTTATAACTCAGAGACACACAACAACAACAACAACAATATGGCTGAGCCAGGGAGTTCTGGTGGCTTAGTGGTGAGGAGCGGTACTGTCAACCCAAAGGCACATGGTTCGAATTCATTCAGTTGTCCCACGAGAGAAAGATGGATTCACCTCTTTCTCCCATGTGATTTACAGCCTCTGCAAACCTAATGGAGGGTCAGCTATAAGCTGTTTCTAACTCAACAGTACATGACAACAACATGGCTGAGCCACCTCCAGGTGACCAGATGATCTACAAAGACTTTCCCTCAACCATGAGATGAAAGGGAGTGGGCAGATGTGTGGCCAAATGTTGGGGATCCATGTGCTGTGTGCTGATGAGATAAAAAAAAAGAGAGTTCCCTCCAACAAAAGGCTGGAAGTCTAGAGAAGAACATGGCTGCTGCTTGGAGCAAGAAAGAAAAGGGAGACAGGAGGAAATGGAATCGAGTGTAAGGTGGACAGAGAACCAAAAGAGAGAGGTATAACATAGAATGACTTATATTAGTAGTCCAGGGAGCACAGCTTAATTAAGAGATTTTTATCACTTATACCATCAAGCAGCTAGCTATACTACAAAACCATTAACAGGCTGAAATACCTCCCTCCACTCCAAGCAACAAGCCCATGGCCCATGCTCATCTGTTGCCTCAGCCTCTCTTACAGCTATTACTCACCAAACAAACCTCACATTAGACATAGATACCCAAACCAAACAATAATAATGGCATTACTATGTGTCAAGCACCATTCCAGTCACTTCCCATACACTTCACAGAGGATTAATTTAATCCTCCAAAGAGAATTCTAGGGAGCACTGGTGGCCCAGTGGTAAGAAGCTGCACTGCAATCCCAAAGGCACGCAGTTCGAATCCAACAGGTGCTCCACGGGAGAAGATGGGCATTCTCCTCCCGTGCAATTAACTGTCTCTGAAAACCCACCAGAGGGTCAGCTATGGGTTGGTTCCAATTTGATGGTGGTAGACAACAACAATAACAACAAAGAGAACTCTATGACATAGGTACTGTTATCATCCCCTTCTATGGTTGAGGAATGGAAATCTCTAACAGAGGAGAATGAATTAGCCCAAGTCACACAATGAGCAGGGAGTCAAGTCAGGATTTGGACCCAAGTAATTTGGTTCTAGAGTCTACAAGCTTAAAGGTGCTCTAGTAGCCTAGTGGTAAGCAGCAGCACAGCAATCCCAAGGCACACAGTTCGAATCGACAGATGCTCCATTGGAGAAGGATGGGCAAACTCCTCAAGTGTGTTTTATTGACTTTGAAAACCTGCTAGAAGGTCAGCTATGGGTTGGTTTCAATAGCAAACAACAAGCTTAATTGTGATTCCATAGTGTCAGAGGTAACTGGTAGTTCCTGGGGCCGAGATTTAGAAAACTGGAGAAAGCACAGGATATCCAAGGCCCAGGAGGAGCTGGGGCCAAGTCCAAAGAAGTAAAACCAGAAATGTGCTTGAAGAAGCAGGAAGCCAGAAAGCATTAGAAGAAAACTGGAAAAATACAGGACAGGTAAGTGTGGCAGAACATGCAAATAAAAGGGGGTAAAATGAAGAGAAGGTGTGTGAAGTTTTATTGCCAATGCCTAAAATGCAAAGCAACTCCCAAACTCCACACAACTGGAACTAAAGGAGCAGAGCTTGAAGAAAAGAGGGGGGGAAAATTCAAACTAAGCCACAGGAAAGAAAGGTCTTTTATTATGAATGCCGAAGTCTGTAATTTTGTTGAGAATTGCCTTTGCACTTGGCTGTTTTTGCCTCTGAGAATCATGTACATTTTAAAGCAAAAACCAAGCAAAACTAAGTAGGCAAATGATAAAAGGAAATTAGAAAAACACAGAAATACCCACTGTCCAGAGCCTTCCTTCGGGTAACCCCTTGAAATTAAGACTTGAAAAATGTCATGAAAGATAAGCAGAGACAGAACAAAGCAATGCCTAAGAAAGACCAAGCAGAAAGAAATCATTTCCTTGACCATACTTTTGGCATTTCTAGCACCAAAAACATCAGACAGGAGTATGACCAGAGTGGTGACTACCTTTTGGAGAAATTCATTAAGTTAGGACTTAAGCAAGTTCCATGAAAGTGACTCCCTCCCCAAAGCATGATAAAAAAACCAGAACCTCCTTCCTCCTAAGGGATCTTACATGATTATCCCAACCTGGCTAACTGCACCCTTCAAGACTCGTGTCCAGGCAACAAGAGCCCAGCACAGCCTGAGCTTCAGCCACATCCAGCACGTCCTTCCCCAGACAGGCAAGTAAGGATGATGCCTGTTGCCACGGCGCTGCCCAGCAGGAGGGTTCTTACCATCTGCAAAAAGGTCCTTTCCTCTTTGGCTTCATCACTTGCACAAACAAAACAAATGCCATATGACGGCTGCTGTTTACCTCAACTCCTCTCAACTCAGCTTCAGACCTGTTTGTCCAGAAAGTCGACTAACAATTTTCTCTGTGTCCATCTTTGGTAATACTGCGAGGAAGATGGTACCAAGATTCCATAGCCGCTCCTTCAACAAAAGCCTTTTTATAGGACTTGATTTGAATGAAGGAGGGGACTTAGAGAGAAGCCCCTGCTCTTGTCACAGCTGAATGGCTGGCCAGGTTCTGCTGCAGGACCAACTGTCCCAGCCTCTAACAGACTAGGTCCCGGGTGCAGTATCCCCACCCAAGGCAAACCCGTGAGATGCCAAGCTTGGCCAGCAGCTCTCAGCTCAGGCTGTTGGGACGCTCACAAAGTTGCATATTTGGGGAATGTTTCACGCTGGGCAGCAGGCCAGGCATTCTGAAGGCCAGGCTACCACCCTTGGCTGTAAAGGTCTCATTCAGCTGCTTCAAAAAAGAAGTTCCCAGGAAGGACAGACAACATGTTTCTAGACTCTCTCCCCACCATTAGAGTCTACTCTCCCCATGCTTGGCCTTCCTCAAAAGGAAATCACGTAGCAGTCCCAGCGAAGAGTTAACTTCTTCAACACTGGTCTGAGGGACACCAAGTGGGGGCTTGCTGTGGAAAGACTGTGGCACTGACTGAATAGAAGTCTACGAGGCTCTTTCTCCACACATTGTTGTTTGGCGCCTTCAAGTAAGTTCTGACTCATAACGACTGTGTGTATAACAACAGAATGAAGCACTGCCCAATCCCGTGACATCCCCACTACTGCTGTTTTGCTGGTGCAGCCACTCTGCCCATCTATCTCACTGAATGCCTCCCGCTTTGTTGACGATTCCACTTT